TGCTGCTGCTTTGGGCCATCGGGCCTGTCTTTTGGACTCCTGGTCTGAATCAGGACTGACTCGTGGGATTATGACTGGACTGGGACTGTAGCCTTTGACTCATTACCAAACAGACATGTCATTTCATTGAGGAGACATGACCCTAACTCAGTCTTGAAAATTGTGTCCAATACCTGTTCGTTCAGGACCTGTTTGTGACCTTTCAAAATGACTTTTCACTTCATTATGGATGCGACATTTACCTCAGGAACTTTGTCTTTTGAGTTGCTGCTCGTGAATTTAAGTTCTGGCCGACAGGGCCCCTTGCTGTTGGGGCACCCATTTGGGGTCTGATTCGTAAAGGCCCTTTTATACTCGTCCCACACTCTCTCTTCAAAAACCCGACAGTGGGGTCCACGGGAAACAAAAGACTGGTCCTTCGATTTTCGAACGTACCGGTACGACGGTACTGTCACCAATTACCTGTAGGTCCACAAAATTGCGAAGGACCAGTCATCGTAAAGCTTTCACCCCAGCTCCTGTCGGATGAGATTATGAGCAGGCTAGAGATCGCCTAACCTTGCAAAGCCCATCATGGGGATTCATTCCAAACAGAAGTTGCGCTCTTGCGTCCAAGGGGGCCATTTATGAAATTTTATGATTCACAGACTGCTTTATACGAACAAAGGAGGAAAAGTTATGCGACACATGGGCGTGGCGGAATGACCCAACTGAACTCAATTCTTATGCTAAGAGATAAGCTGCGTATGGCATTTGTTCTCTCTGGGGAACACGGTTACCTAGCCTAATGCTAGCGGCCATAACTTTTGGTTTCCCAGAGCCCTGTGCTGAACTGTCAGTATTGGATTCAACCCACCGTGCCTTTGCCGGGCATGCATCTGGTGTCTATGTGCTGGCCTTGCTGGGTCTCAGATGGCGTGCCAGGGACAACGCTTCAAGGGAGGAGATTGTTTTGGAGATGTTGCCCTTATGTATGACAGGTAGTTGTTTTCCTTTGCCCAGGGCCTGTCTATTGATTTGGTTTATTTGTTTTTCCATATTCTGAACTGTTTTCCTAATCCTCCCTGCGTGCTCCTGCAGTTTCTGTCATCTTGCTCTGTTAGCGATTTCCCAAATGTGTTTAGCAACTTCAACTTTAGCTCTGAAAACATTCTTCTTCTTCTTCTTCTTTTTTCTTTTTCTTTTTCTTTGTTGAAAAAAACACAATGGCCCCTTCTGTGAGGGATGTGCCCTCAGGGGGGACCTTAGACAACATGCATATGTTCTAGACTGTGGCCCCCAGCAAGCCTCGTGCCCGCCACAAGTGAAGGCGAGCCTGAATATCCATGAGAGGCCCTTATCTCAGCATTTTCAAATGTGAGTCTCAGACAGTTGCTGCACGCCAGTTGGTTGAAGTGCAACCTGGGCCTCACCCTGGACTCTTCCAGAAGAGGCAGCTGCATCAGGCAGTTGAGCACAGGATGCAGGTAGTTGCGCCCTGGGCACACGCACCGTGAGGCCGACACATCACGAAGTGGCCACGAGCCAATGAGAATGCAGCATTGTCGTCACATCCAGCCGTGGACCAATGCGAACACAGCAAACATTCAGAGGCTGGATAATTCTGGGTGTGCCCAACTGCGAAGGGCCCAGGGCCTCAACTGTAGACATGGGCCTGGGCGCAGACACTGGGGCCCGACCGGAAGCTACTGGAAACTTCCACGGCCAGGCCCAGACAGTCCAGCAGCAGCATTCTCTCCCATATAGGGAGGAGGCTGGCCAGTGTCTGGCATTCTGGCCTAGGCAGGCAATGCGGACACGCGGCTGCATTAGCACGCAAGTGTCTGCAGGCGCTACTGCTGGCTGGGGCGCGTGCGGGTGCTGAGTGGTGAGGGGCGCTGCAGGGCAGCAGGGCGCTAGCGGCCATAGCCGGGCTGCAGTGCGTGAGGGCAGAGGAGGGCGGCGAGGGTCTTCAGGAGGAGGCGCGAGTGTGGGTGGACAGGGGATGATGAGGGGAGACGAGAGTACGTACCTGAATCTAAATTCTTGATGTAAAAAAATTGTTTTATATAAAAGAATAATCCTGGATCTAGTTTTCTAGGTACTTTACTATAGATTAAAAAAATATGTGCTTATTATATTCTTTATAGCACAATTCTTTTATCCAGTTGAAAAAAAAATCATATGAATCAATCGAATTAGAAAATGTTGATTTGCAAGAAAGTTGAAATTCACTAATTTTTGTATCTGGGAGGTCGGCATTGGTGTTGACGTCATGTACATTGGTCTTCAAAGTCGAAGTGAGCCTATTGCATGAATGTAGATAGGCTAGGTAGGACAAGTAGGGTAGGCTGGGCGCTGGGCGCCAGACAAGAGGAGCGACATTGAATACTGCGCTGGTGTGGCCTGAGGGTTTGAACATTGGCTCACGAGTTCATTGTATTGCTCTTATTTGGATGGAATCTTGGTGCATTTGAGCTCTCTGCTTTTTACATGACTACTGGACTTCTGCGTGATTTTGCAACTTGGTTTTCTGTATATCGCTCTCGCTCATATTCCGTGCACTTCGGTTCTGGGGCCCAACAGTCCAGTTGCTTATCATCGGCAAGCATGTTTGTACATCCAAAGAAGGGGGAGTTCAGACCAGAGAAGGGGAATGGCCTACCTTTGTGGCACTACCGGTAGTCACCTAGCAAAGGGGGAGCTGCAAAAGAAGGGGGTCCCACCCCCCCAAACCATGGCCGTGCTCCAGGGCCACCCTGCTGGCGGGGAGGCTTGCTAGCAGCACCCAGACATGCAGCAGGATGGCCCTCAGGGAGGCGGGCGTGGGGAGGGCCCCCCCCTACAGTTCCTCAGGCCGCCTATCAAGACCCACACATCATCAGGTCATCGCTTTCACAATTTTGTCTACCCTGTCCTACTCTCATCCTGTCCATCTTATCCATCTTCTCCTGTTTGGGCCGCCTTTGACAGCACTCTACACCCCTCTTGTCCCTCATACCTTAATATTGGCCGACTCCATGTCTCTTACTATCTCTAATTCCCTGCGCCCCTGAGTCCTATTTCGATAATTCCATGTATCCTTGTACAGTCTTATCATCTCTTATGGGATTCCACATCGTTATCCATTCTGAGAATAGTCATATGATCCTCCCAGCGCCTTCTAACCCATGTATCTTTAATGTTCCTGTAGGACCTGTACTCTTTTTCCGTACTTTTTAATGTTTTTGAATGCTTTCCATTGTCCCCCCCCCCCTCCCTATCCACCCTACCCTTCCCCTTTTCCTTTACCCCTAGTCCCCCTCCTCTAATCCCCTCCCCCTGATGCTGTACATCTACCAACCAACTATCTTATTCTACATAGCGCCTGCCCCCCACCCCCCTAACTACTATACACCCTGTTCAGATTCTTCCTCTGTTTCTGCCCGGGGCCTTTGACGCAGCAGCACCGGGACGAACTGCATACGGCCCGTCTGGGGGTCTCGGGCGAGCAGCTGCGGGTATGAGCGCCATCTGGCCCAGAACCGTTCCTCCTTCCCTTCTCCTGTGTTCCTGCTTCGGTGCCAATCCACAGGAGACCCACCCGAATATTTTCCAGTGCCCTCTCCTGGTATACCTGCAGCGGGGGAGAGGTTCCCTGTCTGCAGCGCCTGTTCCTTAGTGTCCACAAGGCCCACAACACCACCACCCTTAGCATTTCAACTGCCATCAGATCCTCCGTTATTTCCCGGTCCACTTTCATCAGTGTCCCCAATAGGATAGCCACGTTGTCCCCCTCCGTGACCTCAAGCAGGGATTTGTCCCCTATCTCTTGCGCCCATCACTCCCGAAAGGCCCGCACTATCGGGCACCGAACAAACAGGTGGGTACTGTTTCCACTTGTCCACAGCCTGTTGCACATCTCTGATCCTTGTGCCGGCTCTTAGTTGCCAACCACTGTGCTGTGCGGATCGCCAGATGGTACAGTTGCCATAGCAGACCCGCCTGTTTCTGGTCTGGCAGGGCTTCCAGAAGTGCACATTGTTCATTCCACCTCCGTTGTGTCCATCTGCCGAAGTAGGCGTCAAATTAGGATGAATACATTTTTAATTTTTTATCTTTGTATCTTTCAGCAGAGGTTCATTCTGAAAAAAAAGGACAGCATCCCTCACATAACTCATGATTGTTCATCATATGGTTATCTGTGAAAGGGTTTCACCCAGTTCGCGCAACAATTGCAGATACCAGGACTCGATCCCCATACCTCCCCTAGCCCACTGTACAGTTGTTCGTTGACCCTGTGCGTTTTGAACCCATGACCTGTCCTCAATGTCTTGCTTGTATGAGTTGGGTCAGGTGGGTTTGATCCGTAGGTCAGTCGTTTAGGAGTCTTGGGGCCGGAAAAGGCAAGTTTACAGTTGACCTTTCCAGAGGTCAACTGCCCCTACGTCCTCCGAAGAGTCGACTTGACCTTTGGGAGTCAGTAGGAGGCAGACCATCGGTCTCCGAAAGGTCAAGAGTCCCCAGTCAGCCCCGAAGAGGCACAGGTATAGGCAGTCCCAGTCCAGCAGCAAGTACTAGAGTGGAACTGCAAGGGCCTGGGACTGGGCAGGGCAGACCACCAAACGAAACAGTATAAATAAAGAGGCAGCGCCCAGCCATTCATTCATTCGCCTGCAAGCTACGTGGAAGTGCTGCTTGAGTGACTTGTGCGTTGAGTCACAGGTGGTCAGCAGGAAGCCCGAAGGTGGACGAGGGCAAGCGGCCATAGCCGCTAGTGAGCAGGAAGACTTCGGCGGCCATAGTCGCCAGTGTGACGAAGTCAGCAGTTGGTATGTGTGTGTGCGTGTGTATGTGTGCGTAGACATTCAGGGTCGATCCTAGTGTGTGTGTACGTGTGTGTGAGTGAGTGTGAGTGTGTCTGATGGTGGATACAGTGTTCGGGTGGGAATTTCAGACTGGCGCTCAGACTCCAAAGCCGCAAGATGTGACAAGTTGACCTGAGCTGAGTTCCTGGCCGAAGGCCATATCTCTGAGTTTTCTGTGTGGGCGCTCTGCGCCATCTCACTCTTGTTGCTGATTCTACTTTGAGGAAGTTGTTTTGATATCAGCACCTGCATGTATGCATGTTGGAAGTGAAATTGAGACAAGTCTGATTGTGTTGAACAACCTTGCAAGTGCCAAGAAGAACAATGTCATCAATATCAATTCACCAATGAATTAGTTGCAGGCATTGCAATCGAGCAGAAGGATATCAGAAGGAGGGACAATATAAGTACCATGTCCGATGGTTGCAAAGGTTCGGTGGGTGGGGGAAGGGTACCACAATTATTTTTCCTCACGGCGGCGCTGTAGATTTCAGGCTCGGGGAGATGCAAATTTTGGTTCGTCAAAACAGGTCCGGACGGAATGGTGGTTTGATCTCTTTCGGGGGTGTACTGGTGGTGGTCTCCTTGCTCTTTGTGGTAGAAGTTCCCAATGTGTTTACATTGGTGGTGCTTCTGTTGTGGCGTTCACCAAGGCTTCTGCTGGCCAAGCGGACCTGACTGATGGCTCCTTGCCACCTCTGGGCCACTGTTCGAGATTTGGGCTATTTTGGCTGCAAAATGCATCACGGCGGCAATTCGACACATCTCAAACCGGTGTGAAAATGAACGCGGGCCATCGGATGGATGGGGCCGATCGACGGGTGGGGTGCGGGCAGAACTGGTTTTCCACAGGTTTGTTCACAGCGCGCCGGTTAATGTGGTGAGGGCGGTCACGTGGACCAGTGCGTGCGGAGCGTTGATCGAGGGAATATCTCGGAAGAAGAGCCATCCGATAAGCGCCATCGGCCGCGGGGTGACGTCCATGGTCTGCTGCGCCCCGAAAACCGGCACGAAAGTGCGCGCGGGCCATCGGATGAAGTTGGGATACGGTTGATGAGATAAAGTGAATGTGGCGGGGAGGGTTATTGTGATTTGGTATAACCAGGGGAGGGGGAGATTCAAACTTCAGAGGTTGCTTGAAGCGAGAAGCCGGTAGAACACATTTGACCATTCTTCGGACTTCAATTATTTTTTAACTTGGAACATGAGAAGTTCCATCGAATCTGAGTTTAACTCCATGTTGAATCTAGTGGAGCACAGAGTGGGAGTAACGTCTTGAGGAGGAGGAGAGAAGGAGAGACCAGTTAGAGAAATGGCGAGCAGGGGATGCGGCGAAAAAGCTGTTGGGATTGTGTAGCCAAGAGGAAGGTTCTTGAAGTGCGAAGGTGTCAAAAAAAAAAAAAAAAAAAAAAGGATTCCGCTCATTGACTTGGCAGTCATCCTGCTGCTCTGCCTAGAGGGAGAAGCTGGTGGAGCTCCTGTAGGTTGAAGGAGGAGCTGGAGGGTAAAGGCAAAGAACACAGCTATCAAGGAGTAGAAGAGAGAGGTAGGAGAAGTCCTGAGCTATAATGGTAGAGGAGTAGAAGAGAGAGGTAGGAGAAGCCCTGAGCTATAATGGTAGAGGGAGGAGCAACCCTAGCTGGGCTATGGTGATAGAGAGAGATAGGAGGAGGAAGGAGGTGGGAACTGGCAAGGAGACTTACCTTTGGCTGTGGTGGACTTAGATCTTCATCTTCCTGGTTGGTGCTGCATCAAGAAGGCCCCTGTTGTGGTACCGGCTTTACATGAACTTTGTTATTGAACTGCCGTGCCGAGTACCGCCCATACATGTACCTGCTCAAGACAATTCAATTCACACATCAGTGAACGACCAACTCCAAAACTTGTAGACACAAGCAGTGATCGAGAAGAAGCCATCCTCTGAGTAAGTTGAGTACAAAGTTTCATCTCAGTGAGGAACAACAACAAGTAACCGTCAAAGAACAGTGCCCAAGTTCTTCTCTCATGTCTCTCACTGATGTCCATCCACCATACCCTCCCACCTTGGTGGCAACCGCCATGTACAGGTGCCTGTTGTCTTCCTCCCCCTTGGAGGATCTAGCACAATGTGTTCTCAATTTCTCACTGCGCAAGAACACAACCCCAAAGTGGGCTCACTGAAGCAGCATTCACTGTAGCAGAAATCACTGTAGCACTGCACTGTAACACCACGCACTGTAGCAGCCTGGCGGTCGCCACCTAAAGTTGTGTCTCCACGGGCTGCTGGCTGGCTTTTGGCCAGTCACTACATCAGCCTTTGGTACCGGCGGCCAGGCCCAGTTGCGGTCCCAGAGCCAGCTTGAATTTTCGTAGGGCTGGTAACTCTTTCCGTTTGAGGCAAGGGATATGACATTGGTTGCAAGGGATATGACATTGGTTCTTAACTTATGCTTCTCTTCTTGTTCTTCTTCCCTCTGTTCATCTTCTTTTCTAGACTAATTCTTCTTCTATGTGAGTTGCAATGAATGACATTGTCTCATTTTTTGGTTTTGCATCATGAAACGAACAGGATCATAGCATTTTACTTGCCTGCTGTTGCTTGCTTTCCTGTTCTGGCATTCTGTCCAACAGCCACTGGAACATGACAGTAAGATCTGCAACAAGTGTACTACTGTGGGCAGTTGATCGTGTCACCTTCAAACGCATTCTGTTGCTGCATCTGACAGAGTCCAAGCTAGCTCAGGTTTGAACCCCGCATCTGTGGCGTTTACCCCAATACATCAAGGATCACATGGTTGATAGGTGTGCACACTTAACGATAAGTAAGTGAGTGATGTCAGATATGCATTTTAGAACGCCCACAGAGCAGATCTGACTGTTTTCACAGCTCTGTAGTTGATCGTGTTACCTTGCAAGTTCAAGCACCTTCTGTTGCTGCATGCATCTGAAATCCAGCTCAGGTTTGAACCGATGTACTTGTGAAGTTTATTCAAATACAAAGGATCACATGATAGATCTTCACGGCTTAGCCGGAAGTAACTT